AAATTGCAATGTTCGAAAGCACAACACATTGTTTGGGGTCTCTATAAAATACCCACATGGTACCTTGCGTAAGTCTCCTCTGGAGCAGTACTCCATGGCCAACAGAGGCAAGTCATTTAGAGCAATGACGCTCAACTCTTCTGGAACTTCTCTGGCCTGAACAACATTCACATGGTTCAGCCTATAACAGAAAAAGAGCCCAACATATCATCAAGGGTTTGACAACAAGACTATGTACAGTGAAGTTTATCTATAGGCGTCTTATAGGATTTGCACTCACTTCTTCATGATCTGAATCTCTCTGCCCCAGCGGTCTTTGTTCTTTGAGTTCAGCTCCAGGCGGCAGAGCTTCACTGCAATCTTCTCTCTTAACTCCTGCTCCAAACACATAGTGGGAATATAACTATACGTGTACTGTTTACCCTTAGCATGAAGGATAGAGGGCAGAACTTACTAGGTGCTGGTACAGGTAGACGTGCCCAAAGCCTCCCATCCCAAGTCTCTCCTTCATCTCCCAGGAGCCACATCGCTGGCTCTGTTTGAGGTCAGGCCACTCCATAGTGTCAGGTCTCAAGGAGTCTGACCTCAGCTAAATAGAGACAAAATACAAAACCTGTCATTCTCCAAAAACGTTACTGCAGATCTTCAGCAAGGTGCTGTTCTTAAAGCCTTTTTTTAAGGCATATTGGCCTCTATGAATCTGCAGGTTGAACAGTGTGACTTTTAGAATATAAATGTTCTTTACTACATATTAGTATGTATTATAAACCATATATAATATGTCATTTTAGGTATTAGCAAACCCGTTCCACCTCTACCTAACATGCTAAAATATATTTATACATATACTTTCACTCAATTTTGGCTGCTTTTTGTAATATTGTATTGGTTTTTATATTATTTTTTAAATATAAACGGCTGTTGATATTGCACATTGATCATACTGCATAGATTAGTAAACTGTCTTAGTAAAACAATTGGGAGCCTATTTTTGTTTTTGGATAGCATACTTGTTACAATGTATTGTATGTATGTATGTATGTATGTATGACAGATAGTCACATAGCTTAGACACAGATTGACTATGCTGAACAGAAAGTCCCCTAAAAGTAATATCTCATTCCACCAATATTATAAACTCACCTGAAAGTCGACAGATGGCTTACTTGAGTTGTCAGAACATTGTTTTTCAGAGTTAGCTAACCCTGTTTACGGTTCGTTTTCTTACATAGTGTATCAGCAAGAAGGTTTAGCCTGCGAAATTATACCTTCACCGTTTACAGTCCATTCACGCGGCTTTCAAATAAGATTTTATGGTTTGTTTTGTTGTAGTTTTGAGTGGAAAGCTGCTCGATATCTGAGCAAAGTGAAAGTGTAGTAGAGATAGTGGTTCTGCGCATGCGCGTCTGGTTGTGCTTTTTTTTCTGCAGGACTACTCCCTCTGTTGGGGATTTCCAATCACACCCACATCCAGACAAGCAGACAGAATGTAAAACTGATGGATTTACTACCAACAGTGTGTGATAAATAGGCCTATCTTGGTTCTTTCTTTCTTTCCTTCTTTTCTGTGACTTGGACAAGGTCTGCATTTGTTCACTAGATGGTGACAAATGCTCATTGGTAAAATAATAATCTGTTGGTCCTTTGTTTAAAATATTATTACCAACACCTCCCTTTCCAGAGAGACAAATGAACACAAATATTTACATTAAAAATCACAAATAAACACATTAAAATCACAGCAGTTGCTCCGTCATTTATATTTTGCACTTTGAAACTTTGGGGCCTTCGGCCGTGCCTGGTTGACCCATTCAGTAGATAGTTCTTAAAAGTGAGTCAGTTGTTTAGCCAGATTGCTTTATATTTGTAACATTGAACCGTATACAGTAAATCCTGGTTTTGGTTGCAGTTTTGAATGTTTTATTATGCTGAGCTTTTACAGTTGCATGAACAAGTTTTAAAACCAATACATCTATTAAATTGAAAAAAAAGTCCTACATTTTTTGTATCAACTGTATTAATAACTTAGACCTTAACCTTAACCTTTTGTTCCATTTGTATTTTCTTTGGTTTTACACGCCCGAAAATAAATAAATAAACCAAACTAAACTAAACTAGATTCTGTGTTAGGCAGTTTAGGGTTTCAGATGTTTTTAGCAATAAAGGAGAGCTCATCATTTCTCAATCAAGCAAAAGATGAGCTCATGAGAAAATGTGACAACATGGTCAAAGCGATGATTAAAGGCTGACGCAATGAGGGACAGTGCTGAAATTGGTAATCACGTTGACCAGCTTCCACTGTCTCTGCTTTTGTTGTGTGTGTGTTCCCCTCTGTGAGAAATGATTATTGAATGATTGAAGACATTAGTTCTTTGCTTAGCAATTGTTAAACAATGAGTCACATTTATTTTGTCATATATTAGTTTGATTTGATATCACTTTGCTTTCTCAAAAAGTTGCATCAAAAAGTAACCTATACATACATGTTCTGACTGAAATGACAGCTTTAGTTTACAATGGACCAAGTGAAAATAAAACAAAGTGTATTGTATGCAGACAAGAACTTATAGTTGCTTCTCGAAAGTGATACGGGGAATTATTTTCGTACTGAGCACTTTGAAAGAGGAAGCAGACAGGTTTCTTGTGATTGAATAGAGAAGTTGAAAAAACATTTAATCAGAAGTTTTTTTTCAGAGTGACCTGTAAGTGTCAGGTGATGTAAGTGTGAATAGATTGAAGTGTGACAATGGTTTCCTGTCTATTTACCGGGTATTGTCTCTTTATAAACAGGAGTGTGAAGAGTGTTATGACTTGCAGGGTTTAAGCCACTTCTAATGATCAGAATTCATAAAGTAAATTGAATTCCCTTCCTGCAGTTAAAAAAAAGTTCCTTATAGAATATGAGGTGACCCCCCTTTGATGATCATAGCGGTCAATTCTGTGACGTCTATTTGAATTTCAGATCTTATTAGGCAAACATAAATAAATAAATAATTAATCACACTCTGTTATAGGCTTCGATGTCTCATGTTCTCCTTCCTCTTTTTCTCTGCACTAAGTGTGTCCGCCCACTGTCTCTAGAAAAATATACATGTTACTGTGTAGGATGTAAACCCTAATGTTGTAGGAGAATAACGCAGCAATGATCTCACTTCTATGGTTTTATTGGGCTTGTTATATCAAACATTTGTGTTAATAGTATACAACATAATCTGTTCACATGGTAAGTCACGCATGAGGCCTATAACAGATACCCATCAACCTCTCACCCCTCTAAGACAACTGTGAAAAAGAAAGAACATCTAGAAGAGATTTATAATGGCAAGTTGATGCCAGGAACTTAAGAATGAGTTTTCAGCCTTTGGGCACACAGGTGTCCAGACCGAGCTGTGGGAGGAAGAAAACTTGCGCAAAAATCAACAAACCAGCTGCCTTCAACCACAAAAGTCCCGGGTTTTCCTGGGTTGGCAAATTACTCTGTATTACTTACTTCTTCTTTTGGTTAATTACCTGTGTGAAGTTTTAGGTAGAAATGTATCAGAGAATATTACATGGAGTCACCAAATGCATTTTTTTATTCAGTTGCTTCCTGCTTCCTGACTTGATGAATGTTGTCGGGATTTACTCATCACTTAAAGTTCTCCGGTCCGCAAAGCTGACAAAAAGGTGTCATATCTGGCCATTGTCACCATCAAACAAGAGGAAATGTGAGTAACACAGGCGTCAGAGGACTTGGTGAGGTAGACTTTAGAAATCCCCCTCTAAAACAATGTCTTGGGAAGTTGTGCAAAATGTGGTTGTGATGTGCTCTATTACGTGAGGCTTTATTTATCTGTTGTTAAATGTTCTACATGAAGGCAGATAGGCTACAATGAAAAGTCATATAAGTGGCAAATGAATCAAATACCAATTTCCCTATTGGGACATGAAACTATATTTAATCCTATCCTAAACTCAGTTATCTAGAAATACTATAATTCTTTCATTTCTCAGGAATAGGTGAGTTCAATTAGTCTTGATTGATGATGCAGCTGCCTGCATGTTGTCACAGGCCGATGATTCAAGAGGATATGCAACTCAGTTAAGATGAATTGCATGGCGTGCTTATGTAAGCAGTGAGATTGCTACAGTATAATTTCACACAAAAACGAATTAATTAATAATGAATAAAGCGCCATCGACACACTCGATTAAGCGTCTGTATTATTTAATGAGGACGAACCCCTCAGCATAGGGATGTTTAAATCACAGAAATATCTTAACATTTGTTGAAATTCCCCCTCCCCGGAGTCTGAACAAAATGGAATTCATGCAAAAGACATTAGGAAAGGTTTTTCTTCACAGTTATGATGCCTCCAAAAAAGAAAAGCTCACTACGTTTTTCCATGTTAAATTGGACAAAGCCACATAATTCATACAGTATGTATCATTGCCATGTGGAAACATTTTGTGTTTCATACAATATCCTGCAAGACAATTTGAAGGGAACATGTGTAATTCATTAATTAAATTCCAGTTTTACTGAATTCATGTAGAGCACTTGAGTTTGCTTCGATGTTAAAGTAAAACAACAGCAATTTGTACATTAGAACTTCATATTATGGCAACACAAAATAGTCTTTTTTTCTGATGATATATTCTTGTCTCTAATTCTCACATTTCTATTACAGAACGAATGTTTAAATACTATTTCAGTCCTGAATCTCAAACCTTGTACTAGCTTTGAATAGGATGTGCTCTTCTGCACCCACAGCTACAACAGTTGACCACACATGACCAATTTAGGATATATTATTTTGAACATATCAGTGCGGTTTAAGGGGAAGGGGGGGGTGTTGGCAGCGCATGTGTCACAAGACATGACAAATTATTTGGTCAAGATTTTGCTGATCAGCAATTGAGCTCCATTGAAGTTTTCATACTTCCTCCTAAACCCCTCCCACTTGAAGCTGAGTGTTTTTAAATGGGAGGAAATGTAGGGAGATCAGCACTGCACCACCAGAGAGACTAACAGCACGAGTCCTGACAGGAGAGCACAGCGGAGGATACAGAGAGGAGATAACAGTCATTTCAACTGGAAGAAAAAACAAAGACCTTCATCGGGATTGCAATTTTGGACAGAAAGGTATTTATGTTTTTAAGCTGCTGCATTCAGCAACATATAGCTAGTGTATGAATGATATAGTCAAATCAAGTTAACACAAATCTGTGAATCAAAAATAAAGTTAGAACAAGACAACTGTTTTCTTTTATCCTTATCAAGTTGATTCTGTGTCAAACTAATGCAATGTAGGCTTAATAGTGTGAACATGCCATGGAGTAATCAACTAAATAAGGCGATATTGCACTCACTGTACAGAGACTGTTTACAGGACCAAGTGCACGCAATTAGCATCATGTATCTGTTCTTTTCACATAAATATCCACAGCACAGTATTTTCCCCATGCAAAAAATGTCAGTCAACAATCAACAGAAATGTAAAAGGGTGTGAACTGGTGCAAAAAAACGCAGACACAGAAAGCACATGTCCGTTCATTAGACACACTTGTTTCTGTCCTGTCATGTGGTTTAACATTGACTCCTCATAAGGGCACAGGAGTTTCAAACTAAGACTTCCAGTGTTGTTTTGTTGCACCCCAGTTATATTTCTTCTTTTTTTCAGTCCATCTCCAGTTAAAAATATCCCCACAAAAGAGAAGTGAAACCAGAAGTGAAGATGAACATTTTCGCCATCATCGCCGTACTTGCTGTATACAGCTTTGATTTGGTAAGCAATGATAAAAGGAAGTCATTTCAAGTTTAATAGTCATACCAAGGGGGGATAAAAATGTCTTAACCAAGTTTGTGTGTGCTTCTTTTAGGCTTTTTCTCGAAGATGGTCACCTAAACCCAGAGGCAAAAACAGGGGTAAGTCAACTTTCAGGGCAAATCTTAATATTCTACATTTGTTGCATCTGCTGAGAGATATTAAATATTCTTTGAAATGATCCTTTAGAGATGTGTCTATCCGGGGATGGCAGCAGTTACAGGGGATTTGAATATAAGTCGGCATTAGGCAGAAGATGTCTCAACTGGAACAGGTTTACAACCCCTTCAGGAGCTTCAGAGGGACTCGGTGACCATAAATACTGCAGGTAAGCTTAAATTCAACAATCTGGGTCCAGATGCGTAAAAGAGGGGTATTGTGTGTTTAATATTGCTTTACTTGAATGCTAGGAATCCTAACCAGAGCTTGATGCCATGGTGCCATGTCCGAAGAGGAAGCAGGATTGCGAAAGAGTTTTGCAGCATTACCAGATGTAAGGTTCAACCAGGATTTAAAAAACATTGTAGTGTTGTATTTCTGACGTTTTTGTAATGATTTCTGTTTTCTGATCCTATGCAGGCTCTACACCATCAGTGAAACCTTCACCGACTGTGGATACAGGTAGTTTTATTATTAAAACACACTTTCTTCTCAATGTCATCTTGTGATTTCCTTCATTATCACTCACTGATTCGTCCTGTGTGTCCCTGCAGAACTGACATGTGGTGAGAGGACTGAGCGAAGGGCAAATAGAATTGTGGGTGGTTCATTCACACCCATAGAGTCCCACCCTTGGGTCGCTGCTATCTTTCATAAGCGTTCCCTTTTCCTCTGTGGCGGCTCCCTCATCGCACCGTGCTGGGTTCTGACTGCCGCACACTGCTTCGCTGACGGGTGAGAAAAAACACAATGCATCATTTCCTCTAGTGCAATTCTCATAATGGCAATATGACTCATATGGGTATGTAAGATGTTTACACACTGGTGTTTGTTTTTTGTTCAGAGAGGCGATTAAAACCCGGCATCTGTCTGTATACCTGGGGAAGACTGCCATTAATGAAACAGATGCTGACAGGCAGCAGAACTTCACTGTGGAAGAACTGATCATCCACCAAGAATACAATAATTACAACTATAACAATGACATAGGTGTGCAAAATTGACCTGTGTTTATGTGTGACAGGAAAAGAGTCATGTGAGTGCGTTGTGTGCAGGACTCATAGCTTTGTCTTTGCCTTTCAGCACTGTTGAAGATCAAAAGCAGTAATGGAGGATGTGCGGTGAGGTCAGCATCTGCACGCACGGTGTGTCTTCCTCCTGCTCACACTCAGCTTCCTGCAGGATTTCAGTGCAGCATCGCAGGATTTGGGTTGGAGAAACATTGTATGTATACTGCAAAACCTCTAACCTACAGATTCAAGACTGACCTCTCAGCCGTTTGACTAATTCTTACTTTTGTTAGCTTCATTTGGCAAACGTTACTCACAGTACCTGAAGGAGACCGAGGTGAAACTGCTGTCCAAGTCTGACTGCACAAGGAAATCACAGTATGACGATCGTCTCACTGAGAACATGATCTGTGCTGCTAGCCCTGACTGGAGCACCGATGCCTGCCAGGTGAGCAAAGAACCCAGTGTAAAGGAATGTCTGAAGGCTTTAAGTGTTTGCACCAAAAACATAAGTGCTTACAGAACTTAAAGGAAGTTATAATCTAAAATAGAAATATACAATATGTTTCAAGCTTCAGCAGCATTTAAGGCCTGCTCTTTCCTCTCCCTGAGGTTAGATTAACTACAACTGTATTCTGCCCTCAGGTTATGTTTATTGTTAATGTTCAGATTTTGGGATCTTCTAACCTTTTTTTGCATTTTAAATTTTCACGTTCATATGTTGTTGTTTTTTTACTACATTTCAGGATTTATATGGTCATATGCACAACAATAACCCTCCAAAATGTTCATTTTGATATGTATACAAATAAAAACATGCACATATAAAATATGAATTTATCACAAATTGTTTAGAAAGGTTCAAACATTTTATTTTATTAAAGCCTATAGATCATTGAGAATTTCAATGGAGGAATTTAGTTGTGTTGTTAATATTTTAACTCTGCCTTAAATAAAAAGTGTATTAATCATACATTTTCAAAAAAGTTTAGAGATATTCTGGTGCACTAGAAGCTCAAGGGGCCCTAGTACATATAATGCCTACACTGTCGTAGCTTCATCACTTGGTTTATAGACAGTTGGTGTTCATATGAGCCTTTACAATGACTTACTTTTATCTGTGAGCACTGACTGACAGTTCCTCCCCCCTCAGGGTGACTCTGGTGGTCCGATGGTGCGTGAAGCGGCAGGGCGGATGTTCCTGTTTGGCGTGGTGAGCTGGGGAGATGGCTGTGCCAAGAGGAACAAACCAGGAGTTTACACTCGAGTCACCAACTACAACAAGTGGATCGCAGAAAAAACCGGGCTTCCAGAAATCACCAAAGGATCCGTCTATCCCCAAAAATGAAGCTGTGGCGACAGATACCTTTTGGGCAATTCATCCCTGTAATGAAACGTTGGCAGCAGTTCATGTTAAATTAAAATAGTTTGCAAAGAGATTTATTGTAACAGGTTTAAATGAATGTTTTTTCAAAATATATTTTTCTGTATATAGTGTATCCTTTTTGTAATGCTGCTTGTGCATCAAGATTGGAAGTACGGATTTTTTAACAAGCTATAAGAAAATACGTTTATTTATTTATGTAATTTAATTTAAAAATCATTTTATATAAAGGCTGGTCCTGCTATTGAGTATTTTCTTTATATAATAAATAAAGTATTTGTATAACATGTTTATTGTTTTCATTATTCTCCAAATGTGTAGGTTCCTGCATGCATACTCTTCAAATCATGAAGATATTACACACAATCTTACTCATCACAGGCCCGCAGTCTGATAAGAGCAGCGAGTTCTGCTAGAGGAAATACATATGTTTGTTAAAAGTGAAGGGATATATATTTTACAATATTGACAGCAGACATTTAGAAACCTAAAGCAAGTCAGTGGTACTCAGTGTGTTGAGTTTACTTCAGTTCATTAGGCCTGTAGTGAATGTGTCCTTAAGTCAAACACTGGAGGGCACTGTTGGGTAAAAGATTAGATACAGGAAGCCCAGTATCAAACCTACTGAAAATCACAACTATTTGAATATAAAACAATAATGAAATCCAAACAGAGTGAGTATTTTCATAACTGAAGACAGATGTAGGTTTAATCCACACTTGTCACACTTTTCAGAGACTGCAAATTCAGAAGTTTTGACTTTTCAAATACTAACAAACTGCAATATGAGTCAGACCAGAAATACTAAAGAAGACTTTAAATGAAACATTATATTAATTAAACATAAATATACCCATATTCCTGGGCTTTTGTTCTTGTATCTCTCAGACATCATGAATAAATCCACTAAACATCTAAACTATCCAAATGACTCAGCAGTAGATTCTTCTTCTTATTCTGTAGTTGGAATAAAACAAACAAATGGCAGCTGAGCTTAGATGCTGTAAATGACACATGGGACAGAAACCTAGCCTTTTTGTTGCCTGACTTGACTTCCAGTCTATATGTGCTGCATGTAATTCTCACCTTCTCAAGGTGAATAAAAGAAACATGCTGATGTTTATCTGGTATAATATATTGTTACCGTGGACACCATCTCAGTTTAGTGTGTTAGTATACTAACTTGTAATAATTAGCACTTTAAAAATACCACAGCTGAGACTCATGGGAATTGTAGTGGTTTTGTATACTAAGTCATAAGCCATAAACATTGTTTACAACTTAAAGGTCCCCTATTATACTCTTTTTCATCAATATATTATAGGTCTCAGATATATACAATACATGTCTCTGAAGTGTTTGGCTCCAAATACCAAACAGATCACCCATTGTAGCATCCCACAATCCCCTCTGTTTCAGCCCTGTTTCAAACGTGCTGATTCTGTGTCTGTTACTTTAGATGAAAATAAGGGACCACTCCCCACGCCCCTCTGAGAGATATTTGGTTAAAAAGAACACAATGTTACTCTATAGGAGGAGATTCAGGTGATAAGGTGGGTGGGTCACTCCTTGGTTGGTTATTGGCTAATGGTTACACAAGCCGAAACATCGTTATGACATCATAAAGTGACCAAAATCTGATCAGCTCATTTTCAGACAGGTTTTTATATAAATGGATCAGGACAAAAAGAGGGGACACATGTTTATGTATAAAAGACATTAAAAAGTGGATTTTGCATAATAGGTTACCTTTAACGTTATGATGGTGCTATGGAAGGAAAGTGAGGGGATCACCAAAGTTGTTGGACATAAATGTATCTCCAAATTTCATGACAACCGAATACAAATTGAAACATTTCACTCAAAACCATACATTTTTTTACCTCATAATTGCAGTAGAACAAAATTAGGGTGTATCTAAAAAAAATTTAAACCATCCTCTGGGTAGCATGAATGTTCGTACAAAATCCTGTCTGTCCCAGAATCAACTGTAATGAAGGCAAACTACTCTTTAGTTCTTCTATTTTTAAGGAGTCAGTAAGACACTATTGTTTATGCAGCATGGTACAAATAAAAGGAGCTCTACTAAACATGGTTCTGTGGGGAAAGCCAAGCGCCAACTCTTGTCAGCCTACTTATGATTCCCAGGAAAGATTCAGTGCGGCGAGTGCTTACATGTGCGGCTGTCTACTGACTCACACCTCTCTGTCTAATACCCCATACCTCCAACACCTACACCCCACTCCAAAAAAGTAACGATTCACAGGAATGCTGAGCACCTTTGCTCCAATAATGAAAAACAATCTGCAAATACAACAGCAACATACAAAGAGGAAAGATGTATTGTGGCGTAATCATTTGAAGCAGCTATATTTGAGAGCACTGAACAACCACAATATAGCTGGTCATTAATACATTGTTAAAAGCATACTTCAAACCTTGCTCCAATGCTTTCTATCAAAGTCTGTTTGGACAAGTGCACATATACAGATAGTTCACAGCAGTGCTACTGGAGCCTGTAACAGTTCAGACTATTCCTCCTCAATTACTCACAGAGAGCGGTTTACTTTTATGCTCCTCTACTCTGCCTCCATCCATATATGGATTTCAGATGCTGCGAGTATGAGTCTTACTCCTCTTTAAGGACAATTCCTTAGGACGAGGAGAGGAGGGATGAGAAGAGAGGAGACGAAAGGAGAGGAGAGGGGACAGGTTGAGAAAAAAAGATAGAGAGAGGATAATAAAAGGACAGAAAAGGAAAGGAGAGGACAGGAGATCCCAGGTGGAAGTGGAGACAAAGGATAAAAGGGAGTAGATGAAATTAAATAACACCAAACTAAACAAGAGGAGAGGAGACAGGCAGAATGAAAAGGAGAGGAATAACAGGATATTTTCTGACAAGGCGGACAAGAGTGTCCAGTCTCTCTGGTTTGGATAGCAGCCGCTTGGCTACACCCAAATTAGGGTACTTTGCAATGGACACAGGGTCTTAGGAGTAAACAATACCACTCTTTTTTACTGCAAGGGGGGGTCTCAAGTTTCAAATCAAGCACATATTCAAATCTGGGGTAGCAGAGAAAAACACAAACACCCATAACTTATTGTTAGATCTGATTATTTCTCTTTAATGCAACACGATGTCATGTGCAACCTGTCAGGTGGGTGTTAAACCAGTAGGACAGCTGTTCATCAAGGTTCCTCTGTGTCAAAGTGAGGAAGTAGGTGTAGCAGTGTAGGTGAGGAGCAGGATCTGTGAGAATCCTTCTGCTGGACACACTCTCAGCAGCAGCAGCAGCAAGTTGAATCCTTGGTCTTTATTTAGACCTGGACATTTAGGCCTGGAGACATGAACTCCTGACCCACCTTTTAATGAACACAGATCGTATGTCAGGTGAAACTTTGCAGCTTCACTCTCCACCAGTTATCTTGAACATCATGCTGCACCACCTGATCTCACCTCCAGTGTAGGTCTATCATGCATGTGGAGCTGAGCTTCGAAGCACCCTCCAAACACGGATCAGGTTTACAACCGTGTCCTGTTGTAGCCTCCTAACACCTCTTGCAATCACAGTCTTTTCCCATCAACTTACCCCAACAATTTCCTTTTTGGGGCCACTGGCATGCATGACGTAATTTGGGAAGCGCTTTCACTTGCTGTGTGTGTGTTTAATGTGTATACGTGCGTGTGCGTGCAGGGAAAGCGTCAGTGCGCACCAACCCGCTTGGCAGCTGTATTCCTTGACTGTGATTGGGCGAAGTGCGGTGATTCCTTCTGTCACGATTTGGGTCGCTCCCACAGGAGGACACCGACCGTCTGAGTCCAGCCTTATTCGAGGTGCTCACCAGAGGAGACGGTGCACCCTGGGAGGAGAGACGCTGGACTGAGAACTCGGGATTTGTCCTCCTGTCGGTGTCGGTGAGGAGAGGAGAGGGAAGGAGAGGAGAGGAGAGAGGGGGATCTTCAGTGCTGGAACCACCAGCTGCCTTTCTTCTGTCGGGGCTGCGGTAAAGTCGTTCACGATGCCGGTGTTTCACACCAAGACCATTGAGAGTATCCTGGAGCCGGTGGCCCAGCAGATCTCCCACCTGGTCATCATGCACGAGGAGGGGGAGGTGGACGGTAAAGCCATCCCGGATCTGACAGTGCCGGTGGCCGCGGTGCAGGCGGCGGTCAGCAACCTTGTACGGGTGAGTCCCGAGCTGGAACCAGGGCGTCAATTCACTGAAAGCTTCAGTCCAAAAAGTGTGTGCATCCAGTGGCATTTATAATCCAAAGTTCAAAATCTACATATGTGGACACCAACTGTGACTTAGGCTTTTATTTAATCAATTATAAATAAACCCTATAGGTCATCAAACTACCTTGCACTGCACATGGATCAGTACGTTTATATGGCTTTCACAGATTTATTGCAATCCCATCTTGATCTTTGCTCGCCATCAAAGTGATATAAAACTACCACAACACACAGACAGCTGACGCTCGTGCGTGTTTCACGAGCTCCTGCAGTAGTTTTTGTGTGCGTGTCTGACAGAGACACAAACAATAATGTCAAACTCTGTCCATATTGGTAATCAGATGAGCTCAATGAAGTTTGTGGGGAAGGAACGAGTTCTGATTGAATTAACAGGATGCTGTTTCTCTCTCTCTCTCTCTCTCTCTCTCTCTCTCTCTCTCTCTCTCTCTCTCTCACACACACACACACACACACACACACACACACACACACACACACACACACACACACACACACACACACACACACACACACACACACACACACACACAGGTAATCAGAAGAGAGGGAAATGTCACTTGTGCCATGGACTCCATTAAACCGAGTTAGATTATAGCAGAATTTGCAGTTATAGAACAATACAGTTAAGAACCTAAGCCCATTGTTAAACTCATAAATAATATATATTCTCTGGGGTCATTTATCAGACTCCCATCCCCCTTTCATATGAACTCCTTCACTCCCGGTTCTCTCCCAACCCAACCTTGACCCCTCTGCTTTACCCATTTCACCTCCTCTGTCTGGTTTATTTTGCGTTCTCCTTGAATCTAATTTGTAATTTTGTAAAGAAAGAGTCAAGCTTAGGTCAGAGGATGTCTCTTCGGCATGCTCTGACTGGAAAAATCAGTATGGGCCACATCATTAATGCCGATCCGGGTCATTGTTATTGATGCAGGGGCAACCAGGCCTTAATCACTTAGAAGAAATCGGCCACATACAGAAGGAAACACTCTCCCGTTTACGCCCCAATTATCAGGAAAATAAGCTGGTTTCATGTCATTCTGATTTTAAATGTACGTAGGAGACCATAGTTGATGGAGCAGACCTATCAGGAAAACTGTTAATGCAGGTTGTGTGTCAGACTAAAGATTTGTATACACTCCTTTTTTTAAGCTTTATACTTCTTTGTTGAGCATCAGGACGGATGTATCTTTCTCTCACCTATATGTAAGTGTTTATTGTTCTGAATCACCTTAGTGTGACCCCTCTCGTACTGCCCCCCTCTGTTGGCTACTTTTTTGGGGAAAAGTTTGAAATCGTATTAACAGGGGAAACATGATTTCTTGTTGGGAAAGGACTAAACCGCTCGCTGACTTGTTAAAAAATATGTAGTTGTAGCTGTTGTGTATATATATAATATTCAGCGAGTGAAAGTGTACTTTAGAGGGTTTTTGCAGTGAGAAAACATTTTGATTATGCAAATTCAGATTGGGTAGGTCGCACTTATCACGGCAATAAAGTACATTTCACATTTTTTTCTTTGTTAAATTGTACAGGGAATAAGGCCTCTTTTATTGTATAGCTGTCTGGACAAAGTTTAGAATGCTTCTGCTTCCCTTTCCAAGGACACTCAAGATCAAGTCGATAAATATCTCATTAACTGATAATGAAAAGGGCTATTGGGTTTGGTTTAGAAAATCTCCCTTTTACCGATACCATCCGGTCCTTGACATCCCTTTGCTGCCGGGCACACCTCTCCATCTCTCTCTTTCCATCCCCTTTCCATTCAGCTGATCCTTTTGGACAGTGAGCAGAAGGAGGCTAAAAGCACCCTAAGGCACTTCGGCGGGTCTCATATGATGAAGATGCAACGCTACAGGGAGATAAAAGGGTTGAGGACACAGTGACACTCAATGGTGTAAGACAGAGGAGAAAATTGAGGGATACCAGATAAAGGAAAAGTAAAATGCTTTAAAGTAAAACAATGCTTATAACTCTCCTCAGATTTCTTATTTTTCTTGCAAATACAGTTGCCATTAACACTCTAAATAAGAGCACAGCTAAATGCCTACATACAGAGGAGATCATAAGTAGTTGTGAAGTCCACTGATAAAGTAATGAGAGTTACAAAGTGGGTGACAAGAAAGTGTTGAAAGGGAGCACAAAAGGTGCTTGAGATCAGAGCTTGTAAAATCAGCACCGCTTGGTTGCTGGGTAGATCAACTTAATTGGATGTAAAAGGCACCTAAAGCTCATACACACAAATGAGCACATGCTTTATTTTAGAAAGATGATTCATTCCTACACTTGCGCAGTTTGGGCTAAGATATAACACTGTATACAGCAGCAACATGCAAGCATCACAAGAGTCCCAATGCACACACTGATACAATTACACCGTTAACTGCGTCCAGGGTGGGCTAGCTATGGGGGGTATTTCAAATCTAGGTCACGGAGACACTTAGACACACACATAAGATGGTGTCAGTCTCAATCTGTCAGAGGTTGTGGTGGGTTTTGACACTGCTTGAACTTCAGATCTGAAGGATGCGGCTGGTGCGTTTGGTTTAAAGCGTAAACTTGCCAAAGTTGTGCTAATGACAGAGCGCTGCCTCAGTGTTTGGGAACTATCTGCTCCTGAAGGAGTCAACATAGATCCTGAGTATGTCTGGGGGAGGGGGAGTAAGGAATAAATAGATTTACCGTTGAGTGAAGTAACCACACACTGGAGAGAGAAAGAAAGGCAGAGATGCGAGGAGGAAGATTGTTGACTGAAACTGTTGCACGGTGTGATGCAGAATGAGGAAAGAAGAGGAGGGGAGCAAGACGAGGAGAACAAGACACTTTTAGTCAGACACCGGCAGCCTGTGAGGGAGGGAAAGTGTCTCTGTCATCTTCAGACCAGACTCTGCTAGCATCATAGCCCCCCCCCCCTCGATACACACACATACTGTACACAGACACACACACACCCCACACACTAACTGTCCTCGTCTTGCTCTGCCATGTAAATATGAGCCATCTCTTGTTGCTCATTGGCAGACCGGCGATGGCTCTTCAGTTTCTGGCCATCAGCTTCTCAGTCCATCTTAAATCTACTTCTGGCTTTTAGCAGAATGGTATCCATTTTAATTCTGAAATGTTTAGTTATGACAACGTTTTTTCTTTTTTCGACAGAATGTTCCTTTAGTTTTACGACCCGAGTTGGTGAAGACAAACAAAAAGCTAAATAGAGTGATGTATTCACTCCCTTATTGAAAGAAGCAAAAGCGCAGAACTGAGTATATCTGGATATTGATCGCAATTAAACCCATTTATTGCAAATGTCAATGTTATTAGGCTAACAATGTCTTACATTATGTCAATATTTTACTTTTTTTCGATTCCTTAACACTGCAAGGCAGTAATTTTGTCTTCTCCCAAAAGTCATTACAAAACATTATAATCTAATACTTCACAGTCAACATTTGAAATCATTCATAATTCATAAAAGCTTTACTTGATTTTCTTTATTTGGGGTGTGTTCCTCTTTGCTTACTATTGTGTTAACTTGTGTCTTGTATCGGACTGGACTGTTATTCCAATTATAATGTATTAAAAAGAGAGTATGAAAGCTGAATCTTCATTAGAGCTGGTGCCTGAGGGTCTCTGATGGGCTAACCGATTGTGTCAGCTTTGATTGACAGCTGTCTGCTGAGGCATTCACAGCTTTCATGATGTACACACTCACACATACATCACACTTACAGTCTGTACAGAAAAACACTTAACTTCTCATTAAATATGTATTATTGATTCAGGCTTTGCTGTTTACAGGAAACTCACACAGCACTTTGTGCCGTCACCTGATGTGACTGCGAGTCCGGAGGGTTTCAGCAGATCTTCTTATAGAGCTGCATTCCTCTCTGTTTAGAGTCGGGAGCTCACAGCGTTTATTATACAAGGAAATTCACCCGGCTGCAATCACTGTAATCTTATTTTGTTTGTGAACATTCATTCAGACATCATTGCCAGACATAAAGGATCCCACAGACATAAATCTAAATGTATTTGTAAATATTGTGAGGGTGAAAAGAGTAGAATGCAATCGTATAATTTTAATTTATATTGGTTAAAAGGAAATTATTTAAGCACTGTCATTGCTGTATCTTCACTTTAGTTTGATATAGAAATATAGATTACGGTAAAGGTTTTCTGGTGTTTAGTTTAAGTTCCTGCTTAAAAGTCCGAGTTTGGTCCTTTTAAAGTAAGAGTTTTATGTGTTGCCTACATTAATTACACAAAGGCGAAAAGGTGCAGTGTTGTGAAGGTGAATCTGTGTTGTGCTGCATGATGGCTGCCTCCTCAGTCTCTGGAGCCAGAAAATCTATTAACTGGCTTTCATCGACGCAGCAGCAATAGGCCGATGTCATCATCTCACTGTAATTGCATCTCAAGTGTGTGTGCGGGCGTATGCTTGTGAGTGTGTAGGTTGTATTTTGTGTTTGAGAGCCTGTGTTTTAGAGACATTTGGTTTTTCGGACAGACAACTACATCACCATGTGAACATCTGCAGATGAAAAGAGTACTGTGTGTGAGGATGTATGGATGGATGGATGCGTTGTACCATTTCTATGACAAAACAGGCAAACAATAAATATAATATGGAGGAGAAATACTCATGCCTTACTTTTACTTTAACATGAGAAGTTGGTCTTTTTTTGTCAGCGACACTGAAATGTTTAACTGCAACAAAAAAAACAGACTCAAAGCATTGTTTTACTTACAAAGTACTGTCGGAGTATACAACTAAATCCACAGAAAAAAAGTAGTCGAGGAACCCAATGTGTTTCAATACATTTGTGTCAACATTTTAGTTTGAAACTTTCTCAGGAAGAAAACACTGTTCGGCATTGACCGAAAGGAAAGATTCAAGGAACTCTAATAGAAAAATCAATACTCACAGCGAGGACGCTCAAGTTCAATTACTTCAGTTTAAAAGAGAGAGCTTATTTACATTTACCAGGTCTCAGATATCATTCGTGCCTGATTTATTGTGGAAGTTATTACCCTCCTAGCAAACATCTTTGGTATTGTTTATGTGGTACTGATGACTTCCAGTCGAGCTGCATAAAAAGTATTTCCCCTGATGCGCCCTCACGCAGAATAACAGAACCCGGAGCCAACCTAAGCCCGGCCTGCCTCACCTCGAACCTTGAGAGAAATGACATGCACACATGGTTGAAATACGTGTGAATTGATACACACTCGTTCACCCCACGGACTATTAATAGCACTCACTTAAATAGTATTTCCTCTCTCTCTGCAGCTAATGATAATAAAATAAACGGTCCATCTGTGTGTGTGTTGCAGGTGGGGAAGGAGACGGTTCAAACCACCGAGGACCAGGTGATGAAGAGAGACATGCCTCCTGCTTTCATCAAGTAAGTGTGTCTCTAAAGCACTGTGCCAGAAAACAACTTGTTTCTTGATATGCCTCCCCCTCACTCACAGTCACAGAAATACTCAGTGACCAAATCATAAACAATTATCCGCTTTATCTCAGTAGACAGAGAAGTTATTAAAAAGAGGATTCCAGAAGATTTAATGTCAGGAAACGTGGCTGTGTTCCCAGCTGCAACAAAGAGCCCCTTCTAAAGCCGAGGCCGGACTCCCTGCATCCCGGCCGCTGAGAGGCTGTTTGTTGTTTTCCAGCTTGCATCCAAAGAGCTGACATAAACTCAGTGTGCCAGTGGAGAGCTTCTACTCAGCAATACTCCGACCCAGACATCTGGCTTGCAGTAGCCTATGTGTTGCAGTTTTGTGTATGTTCATGTTTTTTTCTGTTTGTTTGATATCTTTAATTTGTAGACCTACGTTTCGTTTTTCCTTTTCTATTATTGCTCAGTTTTCATATGTGAAAAATAAAAAGCTTCCAGACCTCCAGCAGGTCCACACACTGCTCTCTCAGGCCCATTCGTACATACACGGGGACACTACACCATACATTTCACTCACGGGGCTTAGAAAGGGGCGTGTGGGAATGTGAACCAGACTAAATATAGATGAACCAGCAGCCATCGATACCGTGACCAATGGGGGTTAGAAAGAGGAGGGCTTTGTGCAAGTGCTCTTAAAATCCATCCTCAGGTTAAGATAATCATTGATCTCTAAGGAATAGCTTATCAAATAAGAACTGAAAGCCCGAAATGCTAAGCATTTTACTATCATTTTACTACTGGCAATAAAAATACGTTAGATTATTGGAAACACACTACACCCTGAATCCCAGATTGGATTGCAGGACATCAACTCTTTGTCATTGCTATTTACACGGCTGACACAACATTTAAAATGCATTAATAAATAGAAAAATCTCTTCTAACTCGTTGCACTTGTCTATATGTGCACCTTGTTAACCATCTCTTGTTACAAGGAGGGCAGCTTCTGAGGAGTGGCAGATGGTTTTCTTTGCTAGACATGAGATCTGATCTTTTTGATTTACAAGGCGATAAATTCCTACGTTTGGTAAGTGTCTTAAGCCGGCCTGTGTATTTTCAGGGTGGAGAACTCGAGCTCTAAGCTGGTCCAGGCGGCTCAGATGCTAAAGGCCGATCCCTACTCTGTGCCCGCTCGAGATTACCTGATCGATGGATCCAGAGGGATCCTGTCCGGGACGTCAGACCTGCTCCTTACCTTTGATGAAGCAGAGGTGTGTGTGTGTGTGTGTGTGTGTGTGTGTGTGTGTGTGTGTGTGTGTGTGTGTGTGTGTGTGTGTGTGTGTGTGTGTGTGTGTGTGTGTGTGTGTGTGTGTGTGTGTAAACTCATGCGTGCGACCTGGAATCACTCTTACTTTCAGGGAAATAAAGCTTTATATAGCTGCACAGAGGAAGGGGGAACTCAGCTCAGAGCAAGATAGTAATGGAGTCTAAAATGCAGCAAGATCTAATCACTGAGATCAAATTACTTTCCTCTGTCATAACTCAGGATGTGTGTTTGCATGTGTGTCCTTTGTGTGTGAGTATATGGATATGTACCAGCCTGTATGGTGTGTGTTTGTGTGTGTGTCTCTGTGTTTTAAGTGGAATCACATTGGGCACGAGATGATTCTCGCCATGGCTCATCACTAGCCTCATTTTTAAAAGAGCAACTTCACACAGTCACAAGACGTACATCATAAGACTGAACACACACACAACATACAAAGAGACCACACAAAGAACAGGAAAACTAAGATGTCTAAAAAAAAAACTGATGCACACACAGAAATGTATCCTTAATATTATAAAGAAGTTTGTATCTTATCATCATTATCAGGCCCTGTTTACGCCTGAATACATGATCTGCTTTTGATTATGCGTGTTGTTTTGTGTCTTAGGTGCGTAAGATCATTCGGGTGTGTAAAGGGATCCTAGAGTATCTAACAGTAGCTGAGGTGGTGGAGACCATGGAGGACCTCATCACTTACACCAAGAACCTGGGGCCAGGTCAGCAGGAGCTTTATTTATTTTCTTTTTTTTTTAATAAAGAACTGCCTTCAAGCTGCTACTCAGATGGACTACTATAAAAATGTCACAAATGGGGAAGTTTCATGTGGTATCACTAAAACTGAGAATCACAGAACAACTATCCAAAAATGTGTTTGGGGATAAACATTTTAGGCATTTTTAATCAACAAAAGAATAATCAAGATAATTACTGGACATTAAAAATGAGTATAAGCAACGGTGAAAAATAGGTTGCGCTGTAAATCCCATTTAGTTTTCAGTCATGTATGAAAATCACGAGTATATTGGCATTTATAAAATGAAAACTGCTTAATGTTTGGAGTATTTTTCTATTGGTTTGTGATTGTTAGAAAGACAAATCAATACAGGACTTGGACCCAATATTTTGTCAATTCATAGCACAATTAACCTTTGTATTATTTTATTCTGTTGGTTAAAGATCAATCCCTCATGATGAAAAACTAAATTAACTACTGGCCGCTCGTCTGACACTAAGATGCCGTAATTAAAGATCTTTTTATTGGCAGGAGATATAAACAGGCTATTTATCATCAGAGGTAAAAGGTCAATTGTGTTGTCAAAGCACTGTGGCATAATGAGCTGGAGGCAATCTGATGCCGAGGTTTTCCCACACTTGATTGATGCTGTCAATGTGCGAGGTCAGTCGTTTGTGAAGTAACGATCTGTTTAGACGTGGTAGAGCTACTCAGGGGGTGAATAACCTGCGGGATGCCCTCAGAGTCTGATTGTTGGGATGTTGGTGAAACTGTGATGCTAACGCTAACAAACCCAAGGTCACGACCTCTTGCTGCTTTCTACCTTCTTGTTGGTTTGATTTACCTCTGATGTTCACCGGACAATAAATCCACATTTAATTTTTCCACAGGGATGACCAAAATGTCAAAGATGATTGAGGAGAGGCAGCAGGAGCTGACGCACCAAGAACACAGACAGATGCTCGTCAACTCCATGGGCACTGTCAAAGAGCTGCTGCCGGTTCTAATATCAGGTGTGTGTGTGTGTGTGTGTGTGTGTGTGTGTGTGTGTGTGTGTGTGTGTGTGTGTGTGTGTGTGTGTGTGTGTGTGTGTGTGTGTGTGTGTGTGTGTGTGTGGTAAAGAGGATGTGTGTGTCATGTGTTCCTCTACCGCGCTGAAAATGAAATTATCTCGACAGTAAAAGTCTGATAAGTGAACTATGATCCATTGTTGTTGGTGATGTTATGTACACACACACACACACACACACACACACACACACACACACACACACACACACACACACACACACACACACACAAGCTCTCTGAAGCTCTTTGTCTCATGAGACTCGTCCTTTGTGTGTTTTTCTCCCCTCTCTCTCTCTTCTGTTGGTTCAGAAACAGAACCGGCTCTACTTTCTCCTACTGTGTGTTCCTGACCCTGAACGCATCCTGATGTGTGTGTGCTCACTTCACATCCCCTGCTTTCTCTTTCATTTTCACACACAATGGTTTACATAAAGCCCAGAGACACAGAGTGTTTCCTGTAATAGTAAACTAAAGAAACTATAAATATAATTAAAAAATGTTTTTAACCTAATTAAGTACATAGACACACGGCTTCTGCTTTAAACTCACTTTCATTCAAACAAACCACAAAAACCCTCTTCAATATCAGGTGTGTGTGTGTGTGTGTGTGTGTGTGTGTGTGTGTGTGTGTGTGTGTGTGTGTGTGTGTGTGTGTGTGTGTGTGTGTGTGTGTGTGTGTGTGTGTGTGTGTGTGTGTAAACGACAGCAAGGTTCACTGAGCATGAAACTGTTGTTATAGCAACGCTGATAATTACAGTCTTTAGTTGCTGGGGACAGACTACATCGCCCACTAGCTGCTTTGTATACTGCACCAGCAGAGGAGAGAAACACTCTTACAAATGTTTATTCAAAAACTCCCTTATTCTGTGGCTGTAAAGTCAGAAAGTTTGGCTTTGTGTAGCTTTTTTCTTGCAAGATCACAAACCACTCTATAACTTTAAGATAAAGATAATATATACTTTAATTGATCCCAAATTGTGAAATGTTTTTGTTGAAGCAGACAAGGGGTCAAATGTAACATTTTCACATTAAAACGTGAAACTGCCTTATTCAGTGGTTTAAATATAACTGCAGATCATTTGCCAGTCGCATGTTAAACCTCTTTAACGACAAAGGATGAATTCAGCTGTAAAGTATTTCAATTATTATAAACAATGTTAAATTTTCTGATGGTAGTGTTCTTTTTGTATAATATTTTTGACATTTCTGGTGTCATATGTAATGACAAATACATAAATGTTTCTGTCTTCAGCTATTAAGATTTTTGTATCAACTAAGACCAGTCGCGGTGCCGGTGTTGAAGAGGCAGAGATGAACCGGAGATTTACCTTTGAAAAGATGAGCGCTGAAATCCACGAGATCATAAGAGTCTTACAGCTCACTACATGGGATGAAGACGCCTGGGCCAATAAGGTACAACCTGGTTTGCACAAATCAGAAGTTCTTAATTGTATACCCCTAACCCCAAAAACATACTAAAAATCCTCCCAAAACTAAATCAGAAGATCACTTTTGCTTTTGAGTGCCTGTTTGCACACACATAGCAACACACTCTATCCACACATCCCTCTGTTCTGCAGACTAAACAAAGAATCACTCTTTACTTTCTGTCTCCACTTTTTCTTTTGGCTCGTTAGTATAACTCTTGGTTTTTCTTTTTCTTTTCTTTCTTTACCTTTCTCCTCCATTCTTTTCCTCCCTATAGAAGGTAAGCCTGTTTCTCTCCAGCTCTGCAGTTTCCAGCATGCATGTGTGTCTGTGAGAGAGTGGAGGAAGTATTTCCTTATGCTTAACTATGTATCTGTCATGCTTGGATTGAACAATAAGTGTGTCATGTGTTTTAATCCACTGACCGTTATATTGTCCCTTTGTGCATCTGTTTGTCTTTAATTGTCCATTTGAGTCAAATGGCTTGAAACAGATGACAATTATAAGCAAATATGCTTTTTAAGAAGAACTGCTTTAGAAATTAAACCTGTTTTTAGTCATGTTGTTTTCCTTCTTGTGCTGCTTATGTTTGTGTAACTGTGTGGTAGAGCTGTCAGTAGTACATAAGATACAGATTAAGTCTCTCTGAAATGTTTATTTTTGGCACATGAGTTAGACATTGTGCCACAAGAACATTTACTGATAGAGTTGAGATTTGTTTCCCTAGTCTAACCTGTAACCCTGCATGTTTCTCTGCACACAGCTTTCAGACAATGATCTGTCTGTTTGTGTGCTTGTGTGTGTGTTTGCTGTTGACATACCCTGTGTATGAGTTGTGATTAGCACTTACTGTCTTACTGTGCGGTAACAGCAGGCTCACTAGGACTCTTCCTCCACTCAGGTCATGAATTATAGAATAAGCTGCTTGGTGTCCAGACACATCCGTAATAGATGAGGTGTATTGAACATTTCCACTTAAGCGGTTCCGTCCCCTCTGAGTTCGAAAACAGATTTTTTTCTCTTTACCTAATATTTTGTGGTTAGCTATGAGATGGTTATCCTCTCTTAAATATCTCCTTTAAATTGGTGTATTTAGCTAATCAAATGTCACGATGTATTAGGCCAATCAAATGACTGGAACCAATAAGCATGAGTGCAAATTATTTACCCTAATTATTCAAGATAGATAGTTTATTTTGTACTGCTTTAAAGATCATTTGAGTTTTTTGGATTGCCAGGTAGACAGCCCACAATTAGACACAGTAGTAGTAATTATTATTTATTTTTAGCACGATTATTGATACAAAATGTAAAAATAAAAACGTCCAAAGTTATTCCTGGGAACTCTTTATTTACAGTATCCCATAATGTGAAGCTGTGTCTTGGTATGTTTTGACAGAGCTACTTTCCTCTCTCCCCTCAGGATATGGAGGCTTTGAAGAGATATTTGGCTTTGATTGAGTCAAAGATGGCACAAGCTAAAGGCTGGCTCAAAGACCCCCATGGACAACCAGGTAGCGGGACCTTTTCTGCTCTTTGCTACAAAACGTAATATATTTTATGTTTTTCCACAATGTGATCCATCCTGTGATGTGTCGTTGTCCCCAGGAGACCCCGGTGAGGTCGCCCTGCATGTGATTCTGGATGAAGCTGGCAAGGTGGGAGAGCTTTGTGCCGGAAAGGAGAGGAAAGATATACTGGCAACCAGTAAGGCTCTGGGACAAATGAGTGACCAGGTTGCAGATCTCCGAGCCAGGTAGTGTGTCATTAAAAGGGACTGTCAATTAAACTGTTATATTTATTTCCTTGTCTTCATGTCATTTTGCAACTTGTGTGTTTTTCCTTTATGACAGAGGACAGGGCCCGACCACAGGGTGTGTGCAGCGTGCAGGCCAGTGCTCGCAGGGCTTGGACTTGTTATTCGGCAAAGTGGACAATGCTGCTCGTAGACTGGAGGCTCTAATCAATGCCAAGCAGTCCATAGCCAGGAGGCTGGACGCTGCACAGGTCAGATTAAACAGCAACGGCACAGTAATCCATGCAAACCCTCCCTCCTCCCTGTATCCTATTAAGACTTTTTCTGTCCCATTTGTTCTATTTGATTTAGGGCTGTCCCAATATCAGTTTTTCTCTACACAATATCTTCACTTAAATTGACCTTTAACTTTGTTTATTGTACATTTCGTCTCTTTTGTTGAAAAATGTATTACAAAATAATGTGAGTGCATGAAGGTGGAGAAAAAGTCTGTAACCACAACTGTGCACAAAAAGAACAATCACCCTAATGGATAGTGAAAAAGGCAACCATATCACCTGATAAATAATCTCCCAACACATCTGTATCATATGTATATTATCATTTTGGTATCCATATTTCCTTTTTTTCCCCCTCAAAATTCAGTGTCAATATCATCAATACCTGTTAATCCTTAGTTTGTATGACATTTCTGTAAATAATTTAAGGTTGTAAGCTAGTGTGAGTCAGCTAAAGGCTACATATACAATGTTAGGCAAACCTTTCCCAGCCATGAAGATACAGATTTATGTTTCAATTTCCATCAGATTAGAACTAAGCCATATATTTACCTTTTTAGGCCTGGCTGGCTGATCCTAACGGCGGTCCTGAGGGGGAGGAGAAAATCAGAGCGCTACTCGCAGAAGCCAAACGCATCGCCGATCTCTGTGAAGACCCCAAAGAGAGGGACGACATCCTGCGCTCCATCAGCGAGATCGCAGGCCTCACCGCCAGACTGGTGGAGCTACGCAGACAGTACGATTTCCTTCTTCTGACACATGCACGACCAATGATGTGTTGTGACTCTATGTAATTTTTAGACCCTGTTTTTCTAGGTTTAAACAGCAACGTCATGTCATCAATAGATGGCATATTCTACCTGCCTGGAAAATCTGTTAGGCATCAGTCCTACATTAAGGTTTCTGTTTGAATATGTTGCGGGACAGATGGGTCTTTGGTATTTTGGTGGAGGGTCAGTTACAGTATCGGGGTCAAAACAAGGAAAATACAACTCGATTTAAGGTTGTGCCACATAATTTCCTATTCAAAATACAATTCAAATGCAGTCTGATGGCCAGGTCATTTGGTTTTTAACCGTTAATGGTAAGTTAGTTCCCTCACAGCGGGATGAGTCACCATTACAAATGTATTTTCTGTACTCCAGATCCACTGGCTGCGTGTATTGACCATACAAGGAAAACTGAGATAAACATGACAAGCAAATTAAATGAGCCAGCTGTTACCGAGATCAACACAACAGTTATGGATCTTGACTCTCAAAGGAGATAGATGTGGATCCACTAGTACGCTGACTAATAAACTGTAAAACTGGCCTTTGATCTGTCATTAATGAAACACTCACAATAAATTACTTGGAGCTGATGTAGCAGAAATATAGACCTAGATCAGAATTTGTATGAACTTTTTATCATCATTTCTGGTTACACTAATAGAAAATGCATATTGACAAAAGGTGGCATCAACCTTTGACAGTATTTTCCTTTAAGGTGGTGTAAAACAGGGGTATGGTGCGACATTTGTCAGGTTTGAAGTCTGTATTTAAGGGGAGACACTACAGGTGAACAGCATAATAAATATTGCGGACCATGGGTGAATTTCTTTCTGCTTGTCATAAAAAATACTTATTAAAGCCAAACAGCCCAAACTGTTTTGAGCTGTAAAAAACAGTGTTATACCCTGTGGTGTCTCCCCGATGTATTTCTGTACCACATGGCTTTTACAAATGTAGGTTTTCCCTTTAATCGTCTCTATCTGTTACTCTCTCAGGGGTAAAGGGGACAGCCCAGAGGCCCGTGCATTGGCAAAGCAGATCGGAGCGGCGCTGCTGAACTTGCAGTCCAAAACCAACCGCGCTGTGGCCAACATGAGACCGGCCAAACCTGATGTCACCCTGGAGGGCAAGATGGAGCAGGCCCTCCGCTGGGTGAGCAACCCCGGAGTGGAAGACAGAGGAGTAGGTGAGTGGGGTTGGATGACGGCTCTAGGGAGGGCTGATTTAGTAGTTCAAAAATAAACGCTCCGACCTTCCATGCCTTTTGTCAGCCTGTGTGGATGATGGAAAGTGTGTGAAAGTGGTCAGCTCCCAGGACTCTGAGCAGTTATGGGATCATGAAAGATGTGAAGTGTTTAAGGTCCATGAGGAGGACATACATTCTCACGTTTTCATCATTCAGCAGCCATTTTAAAACATTTCTAAATGTGGTACAGAAATGACTGTGTTGGTGATTGATGTCATTTCCTTAAATGCCCGCAGTGAGTCACTGAATGACTAACTTATTTAGTCATTTAGGAAGAATTGTGTTGCTTTTAACATTTTGTTTGATGCCTGTTGCTGTGTCCCTGTTTCTTCATTTGCTTGTTTCCTATTTCCTCCCATGCTTCCCTATGGGAGCAGAGTGTGAGATACTACAGTGGAACACAGGTACCCGCCCACTATATGCTTGCTTAGAGGATATTACCACTATAACACTATAGATATTAATCACATCACATTCCTAGAAACTATGACAACTTCTCTAATACACAGAAGTCATTTCTCACCCCTTGTATTTTTAGAATTTATGAGACCATGTTACCAACATTTACGAAAACACTGTGCTTCCATTCAGAGATGGTTCATGTCTATATAAGGATGTGTAATGATTTGTATTAAAGACACTGGAGTGTATCCAGATGTGATGTGAGAATGACTTGTGTCCTGTGTCACTCCCCAGGTCAGGCAGCGATCAGAGGGATGGTGGGTGAAGGAAAGAGGCTGGCAGGAGGCTTGATAGGCCCGTACCGGCAGGATATGATTGGACGCTGCGACAGAACAGAAGGTCTAATGACAAATTTGGCAGACATGGCTAGCAGGGGCGAGGCTGAGGCTCCGCATGCACGAGCTACTGCCGCACAACTGCAGGACAGCCTCAAGGTAGCTCAACGGTTCCACAAACACATACATTTACTACCACAGAGTATCAGTGTTCAAACCCACAGAAGTTATTTAGAAAATGAATGTACAAATGTAAAGTTACTAAATATACAAAATACGGGAATTGTGAGTTAAATGATGTAGAAGAAATATAGAATATTTACATTGAATGCTGCATCCATAGAAACATGGAGTAGTGTATACACGATGATGCATGGATGTTCTGTGCTCAAAGTATTGGCTCAGAGCTCCACCTAGAGGACGGATTTAACACTTTGCTTCTAATAGGACCTGAGGCGGCACATGCAGGAGGTGATGACCCAGGAGGTATCGGACGTTTTCAGTGACACCACCACCCCTATCAAACTGCTGGCTGTGGCAGCAACCGCTCCCCCTGAGGCCCCTAACAGAGAGGAGGTCTGTAGCGTTAGAAAATCTGTGCTGTTAGGTGTGTAAAGAATACAAATCCAAAGAAAGAGGATGGTTAGAGAATTCTAAAGCAATATGAATGTTTGTTGTAGGTTTTTGAAGAGCGTGCAGGGAACTTTGAGGCCCATGCAGGCCGTCTGGGGGCGACCGCAGAGAAGGCTGCTGCCGTGGGATCAGCCAATAAGAGTACAGTAGAGGGGATACATGCTGCTGTGAAACATGCCAGGGATCTCACACCACAGGTGCTATTTTTGTTTTTTCTGTCACTGATATGCACGATTGCAAACACTGGGTAAACCATGTTCAGTGTCTTTCCTACACTGTCTGACATGTTTGTTGATGTCCAGGTGACAACGGCTGCTGTGATCTTGTTGAAAAATCCTGGGAATAAAGCCGCATACGAGCACTTTGACACCATGAAGAATCAGTGGATTGACAATGTAGAGAAACTCACTGGTGAGGATGTTCTTAACATTTCTTGTGTTATTTAAATAAAAAAAAGTGTTGATTCCAAAGTAAGTAAGTGGCAAGTATTAAATAAGGTTTATTTGTATAGCATTTTTCAAAGAACAGCATCTCAAATTTCTTCACAAAAAAAAAATAATACCTTAAAACAGTAAAACAAATATAACTTGGGTGTTTCCGTGCCCTCAGGTCTGGTTGACGAGGCCATCGACACCAAATCTCTGCTGGATGCTTCTGAGGAGGCTATAAAGAAAGACATCGACAAGTGCCGAGTTGCCATGGCGAATGTTCAGCCCCAAATGCTTGTTGCCGGGGCAACAAGCATAGCAAGACGAGCCAATCGGGTCCTGTTGGTGGCTAAGAGGGAAGTGGAAAACTCTGAGGATCCGCGGTTCAGAGACACGGTGAAAAACGCATCAGACATCCTCTCACACACTATCTCTCCCATGGTGATGGATGCTAAAGCCGTGGCTGGGAACATACAAGATAAAGGTACAGCCGTGCACTATGCAAACACATGTTCAAGATACTGTATTTCAGGCTTATTCACTCTACTACGCTGCACCTGTTCCTCCACAGCTCTGCAAAAGGCCTATTTGGACTCTTGTCTGAGGATCCTGGCTGCAGTCGGAAAAGTTAGAGAAGCCTTCCAACCTCAGGAGCCCGACTTCCCTCCTCCCCCACCTGACCTGGACCAGCTCCATGTAAGCACATTCAAACACACACATTTCCTTTCCTGCACAGTAAACCTTAAATGACACATAAAGTGTCATAGGGAAAGTGCATTATGTGTAAATACTAAATAGGTATGGACACAATAGGGAAAGTGCAATATTGATTTGTGAATGAATACAGTAGGGAAGGTGCAATATTTGATTTATGTATAAATACAATAGGGAAAAGTGCAATATTTGATTATGTATATACAATAGGGATATGTGCAATAGGGAAAGTGCTGTACCTGTATGTTTCTTGTTTTTTTCTTTGCCATGTGATAGGTGATCTCTGTTCTGTATCTATGACTGATTGACCTGAATGTTTATTTTTATTTTATTATCTCGATGCCCAAGACAAATTTCTCCTAAAGGAGACAATAAAGCTCTATCTTATCTTATCTTATAACTTTCCAACACAATATGAACTAACCCTTTAAAACACCAAAGGGGCCTGCCGACCGCAGTCTACTGTCGGTAATACAGTGACTACGAAAAGTACTCGCATAACCCCTCTAGAGCTATCCCTTTAAACAGAGGGAGAAAGTCATTTTTCATCCTCTCTGGTAGTGACCTTGAACTGCCAGCTGCTCCAGTGGAGCTGCTCTGTGTCCTAGAGCAGGACACCCATTAGAGTGGGGAGTCCTCACTAATATTTTCCTGGAAAATTACATACATTATATAATATTTACTATAGTAGAGAAATTCTTTCAATTTAAATGTTTAACCGGTTAATCAGGGGCTTTCATTTTGAAATAAGAAATGGTCTATATCTCATTATGGTTAGTGTGAAAATAATTTAAACATTTTAAGCAATCAGATGTATTGTAGAAAAGATAATGTTAGGACAAACATTAAAGACAAGGAGCTTATAGCAACTGCATTTAAATGTGATAAGAGTTCAAACAGGCCCGAAACGTTAACCGGATGTTATGTGTAAACCTTTCTTCTTCATTGGTACAACCACTGCATGTTGCAAATGTCGCTTTTTCATTTGTTCCCATACTACATATAATCGACAAAATACAAGTGTGTGTGACAACCAAAAATATCAATATCATTTTTTTCCCAGGTGAGTGATGAGCAGGCGCCACCTAAGCCGCCCTTGCCAGAGGGCGAAGTGCCCCCCCCTCGGCCCCCGCCTCCGGAGGAGAAGGACGAGGAGTTCCCAGAGCAAAAGGTTGGGGAGGTGCTCAGCGAGCCCATGATGGTGGCCGCCCGGCAGCTGCACGACGAGGCCCGCAAGTGGTCCAGCAAGGTCAGTTCACATAAACATGGATCAAAGTTAACACATCCACTCCATCAAACATGTCTAATTTCTTACATACAGTTCTGGGTAAAATACACCAGCTGGTTCATAATAATAATAATAATAATAATAATAATAATAATGGATTACATTTTTTATTAGAGCGCTTTCACAGGTGCTCAAAGCGCTTTACAAATACACATTACACATATTAGACATGTAAGAGTCATTACTGTGGACATTACCCACAGGAGCAAATGCGCCTGTATATAAATACCCCTGTGTCATGTTAGTAGGAATGACTGAAGTGGTTTCACTTTTTTTCTGTGTTGGCTATAATACACTTGGTGCCATTTCATAATCTGTAAATATCCTGAAATCAAGTTTTTGTTCCTGGAATTTTGAGTTTTGATGCTGAAATGTGGAGATTAATGACCCGATTCCAACTTCAGAGGGATAACTGGAAGCTCTCATCCGCTCATGCTTGTAACAAACTCACATGAACAAAGTATATAGGAAAAACAGTAATTTGGAGGAAACAATCCAGCCAAGTCATAACAAGAACACTGTATTTGCAGTAGACTTTGTATTCTTTCTCCTATCACTGTTGGTGTATGTCCTGTATGTGTGTGTCGAGTATTTTGCATGGAAGAACTGTGTAACAATGAATCTGTAAAAATAACTATTCATTATTCAGGAATAACGCCCTCTTGCTGCCTTTGTAAAGCTCATCACTCTTTTCCCCTTTATAGTTGACAGTTTTTCCATAATAATCTATGCATCAGTGTCTTTGGAAACCGGGCACAAAGGATCGCTTACCTTTCGTGGCATTGGGTCACACTAAGCACATTCCCAGCACACTGCTAGCCTCATAGATACATTATAATGCAAAGCACTGGTTTGGGCTACAGTGAGATCTTGTTTTATTAAGCAAATGCTCAGTAAGGCATGTCATCCATCTGCTACCTGCCCACACCATCTACTCTTTCATATGTTTTGCCCCATCTTTGCTTGCGCGTGCAGTTTCACCCCACCTCTCCCCCCTCCTCCACAGTGCTTGTATTCGCCCCTCCTCCCTCCTGTAAATCCTGTCCTCTGTTCTTCCATTCAGTGCCTCCATACTGTACTAAATGCCTCCTTCTCCCATGCTTCATTCCCTCCTGCCATCCCTGGCTTTCTCCCTTTTCTCCACATTCCTCCTTTTATTTTCCTCCTCATCCCCCCTTTCTTTGTGTCCCTACCTTTCCTTCCCATCCCAATTGATCCTCCACCCACAACCAACAACCCACCCCCCTCCACTCCACCCAGCCTGTGGAGGAGGAGGCAGTAGAGGAGAGAGAGGTTTATGATGAAGATGAGTTTACTGATGGTGAGGATGACTATGAGCCAGAACTGCTGATGATGCCCTCCAACCAGCCTGTCAATCAACCCATGCTGGCAGCTGCCCAGGCTCTCCACCAGATGGCGCGCAAGTGGTCCAGCAAGGTCTGCGCACGCACATGCACATGAGTGCACACCATAGGTGCACACACAACCAGACAGGGTCAGGCAGTGTTTGGAAATAGAGCGCTGCAAAGATGATACACAGGAAGTTTGCATGATGCTGGTTTTCTCATAAAAAAGCCAATTGGATTTTGTATCATTGCAGAAACTAAGCTCTGTACAGCACTATATGGTTCCCAATATTTTGCGCTGCTGGGATCCATACAGCTGTTTGACCACCAACACACACACATCTACGCATGCGTACAGAAAAGTGATCCACACATCCGCGCTTTGCAGGATAAAGTAACACTGGAGAAGCTGATAAGTGTGCAAATACTGAGCACTGAATCATGGAAATGCATCGCACTCATTCATGGTTTTCACACTTATGCTGACACTACGCTAAGGTTGCACTAAAGGTTGCGGATTGTTTGAATGGCAAGTTGGTTTGCTGCACCACCTGGACATTTGCCACTGGCTTCACAAGTCCATCTCTTATGGTCACTCAATGTCTTGCCAACCTGTGAGGCCAAGGATGACAGTTTCCCAAAGAATTCTGGGTGATGTAGTTTTGACATTAGACTGCCTGCTTGCCTGGTATAAACACTTGCTTCTGCTTCTTAGTATCAGCGTGCGTAGTGCGTACTGATGGCTACAACACTGTGAACATCACCTAATATGTACTTACCTACTCACAATGGCTGTGATGTGAGGACCTCAACACTGTTTCCCTTCACTATGGATACAAATGTGTCAATAACCTTCTTTCATTAAGGTTAAAATATACGTGGTAACTTGCACTGACACTGCATGCAGCTTTCTTCTTGTAACTATTGTGGCTGTTTTGCATTTGTGGTTGAAATGAATTCCTACAAAGCACCAGGATTATTATTTTCTGTATCCTACATTATGATAATCACAAACATTTTGAAAAGTTCCCTTTGCATTCCCACTATTTAACCAAAGCCATGCTTCTCTCCTATATATTTCTCACAGTTCTTACTGCTTCCTCCTCTACCCCCTACTCCTCTACCTCTCTTCAGGGTAACGACATCATCGGTGCAGCCAAGCGGATGGCTCTGCTAATGGCAGAAATGTCTCGGCTGGTGCGTGGTGGAAGTGGGAACAAACGAGCGCTGATTCAGTGTGCTAAGGACATCGCCAAGGCGTCCGATGAGGTGACGAGACTGGCTAAGGAAGTGGCCAAGCAGTGCACTGACAGACGCATCAGAACCAACCTGCTGCAGGTGAGTACACTCATACACATAGACAGATTGCAAGACAATGGGCGCCTGGGAACCGACATACATGGCCCCACGTATCCCAAACAAGAACAAGACACAGATGTCATGTTATGTCTTTGTGGTTGTTAAGATCCTTTTTCTTGTGATTATTTTGCATCTCTTTGTGGTAGGTAGTGTCTCTTATAGTGACATTTTGTAGGTGAATGTGGACAATTCAAGCCCCTCTGCCTTTGTGTGTAGGCCCATTAGTTATCTATCTATGCACAGACAGATATAAAAACGTTTAATTTGCATGTTTTTCTCCTTTCAAAGGTGTGTGAACGAATCCCTACCATCAGCACTCAGCTGAAGATCCTCTCTACTGTCAAAGCCACCATGCTGGGACGAACAAACATTAGTGAAGATGAGTCAGAGCAGGTAAACTCCATACATTTCACACAATATGGAGTGCCCCTTCAATACCAGCACTCTCTCTGTCCCAAGAGTCTGTTAATGCTAAATATAAAGCACTCATGATGCATGGGGCCAATTTCAGACCCATATATATTATATTCCTGGATTATAAATGCATAGTAGAAGTTAGAAAGTGGTAGAAAACACTTATATACATGTACCTGAGCACAGTACAGAAAGAATTGTACTTACTTTGCACCACTGCTGAATACTTCCTCTTGATGTCCTTTCTTCATTTTGTCTGTTGTCATTTCACCACCGTCTGCTTCAATTCCAAATGTATTCTTGTCCAGGCCACAGACATGTTGGTGCACAACGCACAGAATCTGATGCAGTCGGTGAAGGAGACGGTCAGAGAAGCAGAAGCAGCCTCCATCAAGATCCGCACAGATTCAGGATGCACCCTTCGCTGGGTGCGCAAGACCCCCTGGTACCAATAATCCAACCTGCTCACTGAAACTGTCAAACTTAGCTCTGATAGCACACCTCGGGTAAAGGTAGCAATACTCATCATGAGTAAACGTGCACTTATTCAAAGAGGAAACTGATGATAGGTACCATGCAGGTTTATTAAATCGAGTTCAGCTTTGCTCTCCAGCTCTCTTTATCTGTAACTATGGAATCACGTAGGCTTATCTGTGACAGTTTATAATATATATTTTTGGTATGTTGTGTTACAAGAGTAGGTATATATTTTTTTTGCATGGACATTTTTCTATTTTCTAAAGGCAAATTATGACATTTAAGATACTGATCTACTAGAAGACATTTACTTTTAATTCAGTTCTTTCAGTGAGAGTTTCTTATTGTCTATTGTACATACAGTCATTATTTGTTTAATGGACACTCAGCTAGGAGCTTTATACACTGAGTTTGACTCTAAAGTGTGGAGTCTTGTGTTGGCCGCTGAGCTCTCCTCTCTTCATGTTTACGTTAATAACACTGTTGTTAACTCAAGAATAATTCAAAGGGGAAACATCATTACTGCTGTCCGGTGATTTTTATACTTGAAGAACTAAAAAGGTCTTCTGGATTAAATTGTTAGGACTTATAGGCAAATGATACAGTTTCGAAAAATGATTGTATATTTTAAAAAATGTATGGTTGTCAATAACTAATGTTGATTACAGGAAGGTTTGTACTCAGTTGATAAGAGGTTGTCACATGATATTTGCTGCATGAATGTCAGTAAGGGGAAGGAAGAGGTGAGTTGAGATGTTTTTAATGTGTGTTTGAGTTCTTTGTTTAACCTTTATTCAACTTTAACAGTGAATAATTCCAAAGGATTTGTTTTACATGACTGTAAGCTTCATATAATCTATTGCAATTCAGGTTCTTGCAAATATCAAAACAGAACTTTTTCTTATGAGGTACTTTTTGAGGTCTGTTATTTTTTCTTAGCAAAAGAAAAAGAGTATTTTCTTTTTTTTTTAAACAAATTGTGGTGCTTTGTTTCTTTACTCTCTCTGTAACAGTTGAACTGTTTGGGTACTTTATTCAAAATTCAAATATCAATACAAGTCATTTTAAAAGCCATCAACCTCCTGCATTTAGATTTCCACTCTCCATGTGTGAGCTCAGTAGTCCCATCCTAAATGCTCTGAAGCATAATCTTCACACAGACTTAACCCCGGTGGTTTAAGAACAAAAAACGTTATATTTGATTATCAGGCAGTGATGCCAGTGTTTTTTATTTGTTGTAGGTTTTTGTCTGGAATAATTACACAGCAGACTATTGATTTATGATTGGTAACTCAATATTAAACGCAATCTGATTAATGAATACATACATTTCATTTGCAACAGTCATTCATCAAGTTTTATTGCACAATTTTACAATGGCTGGGTAAATTCAACTATTAAATGGAGAATCTGTATGCGTGTGTATGAGTGAAGCCTCTTCACTTTATCAGTATTAGTAAGCCGCCCCCGTGATGGTTAGTCAGGGCTCTACATGTTAACCACATTTTCCTCTTTATTTGGTGCTACTGAGCATGTAGCAGTCACTGATTCACAACGGGGTGAACTTCTGTGTGTACCTGATGTCTTTACACCCTGAATGTACTCTGATAGCTTGTCGCCCTGCCAACACATCTGCTGTGCCTTGGAAGAATAAAAGACTAATAATGATTAATGGAGTCTGCCTCTAAATTCCCCTTCTGTAAGTCACTGATACCAGAATATAAAATGAGTTGTGAGTGTTGTGCGGTAGAAAGATTTGAGAAGCCCTTCAGTTCAGGTATGGAAGCCCATAAAGGACTTTGTTCAAATGACAGTGTAAACTTGAAAATGAAAATGTAATTCCACAAAATCATTGTGATCATTTCCGCCATATGTACGTGACTTTTGAAGCCATGAGAAAATGGAAAAGCTGTTTAGGATGAATTGGAATTGACTAAGAATGCAGTATTTAATTAATTGGAGATTCCTCATTATTACTCAAAAAGCACACGTAAACAATAACTATGGTTAAATGAAACGTTCTTTCCAATTTACATCGTAAACTTAACCTTCCTAAATGCAGTCTATCATCATGCCAACAGCTCTGTGACACTGTTCAAAGGGACACAGATGCTTTAAGCTAAATTCTACCATCCCCATGCTAACAGTTTACAATTAGTGTGTTAGCATGCTAGCATTTGCGAATTATCCCTAAACATACTGCAAAGCGGATAAAGTCATTATTTTAGTAAACCAAAACTAGCCATACTGTGGATATGGCTAAAAGAGCACACATGAACACATCATTTTAAAGCTTTTTAAGAAATAGTATACACTGAAATACAGATTCAACTTCATACAGGAGCTTTGAGAAGTATTTTTCACGAGGACACTTGATTGTGCAAATCTTGTGCGAAATAAAGAAGTTGCATTCAGGATTAAGTGAGGATTTCTTTCAGGTTTACTGAATCACTAGCTTGTATGCACTGTAGCCCATGCAGATATAGTTGTACTCAATAAGCCAAATGTACCTTAGATATAAAGATATATATTTTGTAATGTACTTTCCCTTAGGGTCTGAGATATGCAGTTTGTGCTGTGACGTAGCACCTTAACCTACCTTACAAGGCCACATTAAAGAGTGAATGTGTGCAAACATACCTGCTTTAAAGACACACTGCAGTGACTCAGAACGTAGATATAATAGATTTTTCAAAAAATAAACATTGATGTATAAAACGTTCTACCTTTATATAATGTAAAAAGGTTTTTAAAGGCATGGCAGCTTACTCTCAGGCAACATGCGTGTACGATTATAGAGGTGTGTTGATTTAGTGAGGAGCAAGGTGGTGCTTACGAGTGTCCCTTTTCAAATTCCCCATTGGCAACACTCAGAAAGTGTTAAAAGAAAGAGCAGAAACAGTCCAAAGAGGAAGGAGGAATGGTTCAAACAACAACAACGAGGCATATTAATCTCTGTATAAGATAGCACTTCAAAACGGTCACATTATTAAGGCTTCCCTTACAGGCCGAATATACCATAGAGTTGTATATATGTAATACCAGACACATAATAAATAACTGTTCTTAATACAAATGAGTCAGAGGATAAGACATTTTAGAGAGCTGATAAACTTGCCCCCTATTTGGCACATTGAATTGTTGACCTCTGACCCTGACAGTCATTACTCAGGTCCGCACCTGGAAGTTTCCCGCTTTAGTCAGGTATTTGACGCCTTTAAACGGTTTGTACTTCTCTCCATTCATTTCAAGACGGCTCACCTTAAGGCCTGTACAGAGAGGAGAGAAGTATAGTGAGCAATGAGGAATCTTGGCCTCAATAAAAAAATAAGAGGTCTGTTTACCTGATATGGCCAACTGTTGAATCTTCAGGTCAATGTTGAGTGAGGGGTTGTCTTCAGGTTTTGGGGCCCCCGACTGCAGACTCAGACTGCCTCGCAAGTTGGGAAGCTTCTGGGGGTTCAGTTTTCCAATGTCCCAAACCAACACCTAATAAAACACAGACATACTCTTAGAAAGGACGATGAAAAGATTTTATTTTTGTCATCAGTAATTTTTTCTCCACAACACCACCAGTTCTGATCCGACTGATCCCTCACACAACTTGTAAATAATAAATTGAGGGTCATTTATATAGCAGTACTGTATACAGCTTTCATAACACATACATTTTTGCTAAAAGCTTATGAACCTTACATTGGCAACTTTCTATTCTTATATTTGATAAGGTATTCAAGAAAAACAAATTATTTGTAAAAATTCAAGGTAACATGGGGGTAGCAATTCGTACACATATGATCATTTAAGTTTTTCTTAAGGGTGGCCTTGTAAATACTTGGTTACCTTGGTAGCGAGGTCGTAGGTGTAGTTTCCCTGTGTGGCTGTGAGGTTGGCACTGAGCACAGCTTTAGGCATGTGGATGGTGACCATCAGCGCCTCCACTGTCTTCCCCATGGTCTGCTTGGGTCCTACTGTGATTTCCAGGCGGCCACAAGGTCCCGTCTCAAAGAAGCAGATGTTTTGCTTCACGTACACCGGAATGGTCACGAGGCTGAGGAAGGACACAGACAGAATTGACCATGATTACAATAAACAGCCAAGCTCAGCAGGCAGGCAGCAACTAGCTTGTGTTTACGACTAAACAAGTTAACAATATCGATTTTAAATCTTTATTGTGGAACATAAACTAGAGTTTTTCTCCACTTCTACCCAAAGAAATAGCACGACAAAGATTGTATTGTTGAGTTACAGAAAACATATTTACACAGGTACTTTTTATGACATGCATGTGTGTCTGTGTCTGTGCTTACTTTTGAGTGCTCACATGATAGTTCATGAGTGTGAAGTTCCCATCAGGCGGGATGAAGGAGAGGGCCCGCTCCGACTCCCAGCGCTTAAACCTCACACACGGGTGGAAACTCACGTCATCGAGAAGAGATGGATTCTGTCATCAAAAACGTCAACAATGGCAGGTGAATTTTCCACTCACACAAGTAGACCACATAAGCACAACAAAGAGCTGAAAGCAAAGAACACACCATAAAGGTCATAGACAGATCAGGCATCCCAGTGAGACGCACGGAGGCTTCAATTACTCCCTGGATCTCTGCAAACACTGTCGTTCCTGAAATATTGAAGAAGATGCAAGCATGTTTGAAGTAAGGATGCGCCCATTTGATATTAGCCAAAATCATAAAAAAAAGTACAACTTGATGTGGTAGAGTGGGTATAGGCTACAATGAGTATTCAGTTATATTCAGTATTTTACACCGAAACCTATTTAGAAAAATCAGATCTAAACTTTGTTTGATCATTTTGATTTTTGAAAAGTCCTGACCAATAAGAAATGCTGCAAAGAGATCTGTGTGTGAAAATTCATAAATCAAAAGCAGCAGCAATATTGCCAAGCTTAGTCATTATATGGTTTTGTATTTCCTCTTTTAGTGGAAAACAATGAGTTCACAGTTTGAGCATAATGAGGTTAAGCATAAGGTTAAGCAAGCTGCAGCTATTATTACAAAATGTATTAATAACAGCCTAGTTGTTTGAGAGAGGGGAACAATGTAACTTCTAACTGGTGCTTTATCTGTGGTGATCCAACGAGAGCTTGTTTGTACCTGATTTGTCCACAATGGCATCTATTTCCTCTATTACGTCAAAATATGCCTCATTATTGGTGTATTTAACACCAGCTCGCCTCCAGGGGATACTGGACAATTGACCCGTTGGTAGTTTATCTCCGACATTACTGCTTCCTGGAAAACAAAACAAAAAAAAACAGAAATGTACACATAGATAATTAGACAGAGCGTATTACGTCTTAGCCTTTATAACAGAGTTAGGTGTCCTCTGTTTACCTGTGAGCGTATTGACCACTGATCGCAAGATGGTGGGAGGCCTGATCATCTCTTTGAGGACGTTGGACTCTGTTGCGAGGGGGAAGCCGTTGTCCAGCATCTCCTCCAACAGCTCGTACAAGGTCACTACATTGTCGTTGATTAGACTTTCAGTGCACTCTCCAAAGTAGTCCTGTCAATAAAAATACCTGTTACACTAAAGCACACAATAGACAGCCATGGGATGATATGAAAATGCAGTGTCTCCATCATTCTGGCCAACACAACTTTGATTCACAATATTAAAATAAAGTATGCTTAAAACTCTTACAATGGTATTAAAACATACTACAAATGACCTTCATTTTGAATCACAAATAGCAAATAGATTTTTTTAGTAGTAGTTTTTAGTCGTCGTTAGTAGTCGTTTTCTTTTAATGAATAATAATATGTTGGATAAGGTTATAGTCAAACACGATGTCCCCATAGCCCTGCATGATTGATTTATAGATAAGTAAATCAATCAATAATCAATGCATAAAGAGTTTAATCACACCTGAATTGTGTCTGCCACTCTGTGCAGGAACTCAATGACAAACAGCGGAGGGACTTCAGTCTGGACGACAGACAGGAAGAAGAGCTTGTCTCTGTAAATGGAGATGAGGTAGTGGTGTGGGGTCTGCAGCACGGGGGGAACATTCTCCGGTTCAACTGCCTTCTCCTTTGCCTCGAAGAAGTAATCACAGACACTCCTGCTGATGACACTCTTCCAGTGTTTCTCCAGGAAGATGTCTCCCGCGTGATTAATCAGGAACAGACTGTGGATCATCTCAGCTGAAACAATGACATGGTTGTTGTTTAGTAGAGGTCTGTTTTATTGAGTGGAACATAGATTCAGGATAACTTTTATTGACCAAGTATGAATGCACATACAAGGAATCTGTCCTCAATGTTATTACACAGAGACAGTTATCGGGAAGACTAGACAAGACTGTTAAGTACAAGTTTGTGAGAAAAATAGGTGTTTATAGAACATACAAGATGCACTATTGACCAACAATAGAAAACATATAACTTTTCTGAAACTTTAAACAATACAAATGGTGAAAAGGTTACTGAATAGATTGCCTCGACTGTTATTTCAGTATGGCACGAGTCCATATAGTGTAAACACAGCTAATATGTTAAATGATATATATTTATACTTTTATTTTTTTAAGGGTGCATCAAAAAAAGACAATACATAATAGGAGATCAAATCAGCAGTTTTACCCAAATGTTCTTTGTCAAATATTTGATTGTGCCCAAATCAAAACAGTGCAAATGTACGTGTGACGCAGTGTCTTTTGTTGTCAACATTTACCTACTGTCATACTATTTAACTAACTTAAACCTCAGGTAACTTCCCCAGCTGGTTAGCAAACAGACATTGTCAACTTCGAGAATTTAACCATCTGTTTGTTTACCAAAAACAATGAAATAATCGTGAGGGTTAGAGGACTAGGAGCGACATAGCAGTATTAAACAGAGCATAATGTGTACAAAGTTTGAGATTGTTGGAAGTTTTACCTGCTAACTCCGGTGCCAAAGATATCAGTCAGTTGGTGCCAGGACGGCAGACTGGGTGAGCAGTCGAGGAGACGCCTGCAGATCTATGCACACGTTAACACAACTCAGTCACAAGTTCATATCAATAAACCACATGATAAAGATTCAAACACTATAAGCCAAGAAATACAATTAATGCCGGCTGGTTTAAATTGAGATAAACTCCTTTGTCGACCTGATTGATGCTTTCAGATCAAAGTTTCGGACTTTTTAATCAGGCGAAGTTTGCGGGCAGCTAATATTTAACGTATTAGGATGCCCTGAGTGTTGTCTTTCAGGTGTTATTGCAGGTCCTTTATTTTCACATGCAGCGTCCCAAGGCTAACTTTTACCCTTATTGTCAGGTTTGGTTTCATATCAGAAATGCAACGAGCTATTATCATTTTATTCTCAGCCATAATAAACCAAACTGTAGAAAAAGTGTAAGATGTATATTTATATTTTAACTTCATTTGGAAAACATTTTAATCACAAATTCCTGGTAAAGCACTACCCAGTCTTAAATTGAGACTTGCTGGAGGAGAGTGCTAAAATGTACAAAGTAAAATTATAACCAATATGTAGCCTATGCAACAGCAGGTTACTTTATCTAGTGTAAAGTGGGTTTTTAGAGGTTCTCTTTCCCTTTTCTTTATCTTGTGTTATTTTACCTGATTTGTCCTAAACATTTGATCAATTCTTACTATTGATTAATTATACTTCTTAATTTAGTGTTCATATGGATAATGTATATATTTGGAGTTAAATACAAATGGTGGATGGTGCCGAAGGAACCACAAATCTGAAGAAGCTTTCAAGTCAGTGAAACCATCCGGATTAAGTCAATTTTCTCATCATTCTTTATTTCATCGTCCAGTACATGAGACTACTTTCAGTGATTTGTTATTTCATTAGTAGTCAAAAGTGCCTTATTAAGACTTAATATACTGCAGTTCACTAACAATTGTGTAGGCCTAATGTTAGTAGGCTATATCGAATATATGCACAAATATGCAGTGAAAAAAAATCACATTTAATCAATTTGAGGTTTTTTCCTGAAATTGGCAAAAGTGTCATCTTTGATCTTCTCTGCTTGGTACTGTTGGATCATTTTTGGGCACATGTGTAAAAGTCATTTCATAAGGAGTTTTATGAATATTTTATGTGCTTTTAGTTTGCCAAATAAATGGCCATCCACGTTTCCAGAAAAAACATAAATGTAAGGCTTTGATTGGTGGAGCTCAGTGATTGCGTCACGCATTGAGGGCTGCCTGCGAGACTGCACTCAGGTACCAAACATCCATTGCCTGTTAGCACTTAGCACAACCGCGCTTCCACACCGGTCAATAAAGTGATAGCAACGTGCCCGCTCAACCATGGCCTCCGTCGAACTTAAAGCAAATAAACGACTCTCAGAGGAGAAGAAGACAGAGTCTCCCACCAAAAAGACAGAGACCATGGCCTCCGACGCACCCAAAGCAAAGAAGGGAAGATTCTCAGAAGAGAAGAAGACAGAGTCTCCAAGCAAAAAGACAGAGTCTCCGAGAAAAAAGACCGAGTCTCCAAACAAAGAGACAGAGACTCCAACCAAAAAGACAGAGTCTCCGACCAAAGAGACTACTGACAAACTAAGGTGACCAAAAGTTAATAATAAATAAGCTAAGAAACTGTATCTCGGGAGACATGACCCTCCTTACTTGGTTGAATGAATGCTAACGCGCGCAAATCTTATATACATAGCAATGTTAGTTAAAAGATTATAAATGAGTGCATTGAATGTGAGGCTAAACATTTCTTTACAATGTATTTGCGTGAAGCAGCAAGCAGCAGAGTTGTTCGCATCTGATAACCATTGTACAATCCTTTTATGATCTCTTAACGTGCCGCTACACAGCTGCTGTTGTCTAACACATCCTATAACTTTTGCAAGGGTGCCAATATCTAATCTTAAATTCAGCGTGACCACCACCTGCCCCTGCATGTTTATAAGCTGCAGAAATAAACACTTGCACCGGTTTGGACACTGCGTTCATCCAGTGCCAAGGACTGGGTCCGCTGCTTGGTGTAGTAACTGGTTACGGCAGAGAAAGCATGTCTGAGACACCCTGTCCCAGCTCCCAAAACAATGACTTGCGAAGTAGTCTCATGGCCGTAAATATGCAATGTTTTGGTGCTTTTCATATCGCAGTTCGACACGATGCATCCCTTTTAGAAAACTGCGCCATTTAACTAATCTGAAACCCGCTCTTGTTATATCACTGTATATTTGTAGGCACTATCATCAGCACGCTTCTCACGATGTAATAGCTTCTAAAGAGTGAGTGGATTGAGGTTTGTCTGGAAGACGAGCCAATCAGCAGACAGATACGGGCTGTTCCGGCCCTTCCTCCTCCCGATGCCTCCAATCAGTGAGGCCCGAGGGGGAGGAGCTGTGGTTGCAGGGGAAAATCGATCTACCCGGGCACTGAGCTTAAAATTGTGAAGTTTTTGTATGCTTGGCTCTTTCTGAGCCGGTTTTAGGTTGCTCAACAGGTCTGTCAGTATCTAGCTGTTACACACAGAGAGACACCATGTCTTCTGCAAGGTAAGTTGCTTTATAGAGAATGTATGGCTGGCATGGGTTCTGGGTTGGTGTAACTGGTTGCAAAAGCCCAGTAATCTTGTGGCTGCATATTGGAAGATTTATGTGATGTAGGCAATGATAGGGAGGGTATGGCATTTGTTTTGGTTAGCTGCATTTTCAGTTTTCCTTTGACCAAAAAAATGATCAGCGTAACTACATCTCTGTACATTATCATTCTCTCTACTTGTTAACAAAAACATTCTTAAATGTCTAGAAGGCAATGTTTGATTGGTAAATATGCTAGCATATGTTCATGCCTATGTCAGGAGACTTGCTACATGTGGGTTTTCCGGACACCGAGAGAGTGGACACTGGTAACATGAGTTTACACTAAACACATGTTACCACACTCTCTTGATGCTTTTGAAGAGTATTGTGCATAGATCATTTAGCATTTGTTTTTATAAAAGCAAAAGTTGGAGACTAATCCACAGGCTAATTGGTTACTGATGTGTAAGACAAGTTCCAATGTCGCTGTTATACATTGACACAAAAGGAGAGTTGCTGTTTGATTTTAGTTTTTTTTTAACATATCAACGGACAATAATTTGATATGAAAGCCAAGCCTTGTGTTCAGTTGTTTGCCCGAGGTGGAACAGCCTGATCAAACACAGAGCCACACAAAGATTGCTATTCCATGTTGTCCTGTTAAAGCCCATGCAGAGCCTTTTTATCTTTAACACTTTATTTTTACATTTCAGCCCTAATACACTCTTTGGGATGGGAAACCCCTTACTGGACATCTCTGCTGTGGTGGACAAAGACTTTCTGGACAAGTAAGTAAAAGAAAACAAATATGACATTTGTTTCCTAGAGAAAGTGCTGTCATCAGGTAGTTCTGAAATCCTTAATAGTTATAAGGGCAAAGCAATAATAGGAAACATTCTTCGTATTCTCTTTTATGCCATTGTTGAAATAAATGTATATATATTTTTAAAATATTTAGATCCTTAGTCCGCACTTATCAGATCAAGGGCAATACAGACGTCCTGTGTCACAGAGGTCACTCCAATGAGAGACTGACATGGCCCCGTCCACACGGACACAAAACGGGTTGTATCTGCTACAGTTCTCGATCGTATGGACGGTTCGTCCACACGAGGCCGCAACGGAACCGCGGAAACGGAGCCCTCAAACGGTAACGGTTCCCAAGGTGGGTAGGTCTGCAGACGTAACGCTCTGGGGGGCCAAACGGCTCCGTGTGTACGTCCTATACGATAATTTCCTGATAACGACCACGCCATAGCCCCGCCTCTCCCCACCTCTCCTGCTCTCACCCGCGTCATTGCTGATGTGTTTTCGCCAACAACCTCTGCTGCTCACTGCTGTAGCATGGTCAGTAGCTACTATAATAATAATAATAATAATAATAATAATAATACATTACATTTATAAAGCGCTTTTCCTGGTGCTCAAAGCGCTTACAAGCAAGTAAAACAAAATAACAACAAAAGTAGAAATTGCGAAGCTAGGAGGAAAAAGGGCAAGGGGTTAGTTAATAAGGAGTTGAAGGCAAGAGTGAAAAGGTGAGTTTTGAGGGATTGTTTGAATGATGTGAGAGTGTTGGCGGATCTGACGTGGCTGGGGAGGGAGTAC